TATGTTTGAAAAACATCCAGTGTAATATTTGAATAGACCATACTTGGATGTATATATACTGATTTTTAAATTAGTCTAAATAGGAAAAGAGGGGATGAGAACACGCTAACACTTTGAGAAAAGCTCTGTTCTTATAATTTTGGCCAGTACTGTATATATATTTATATATATAAAGAAGAAAGTTTGTTTGTTTGTTTGTTATGTATTCAGTGCATGTAATAGCTATTGTCACCAAACTTTTCACGATGCTTCCCTAGGCTCAGGGGAAGGTTGATATCTACTTTGTTTAAGAAAAAAAATGATTCCTACGATTACTACAAGAAGTTAATGAAACTGACCAATAGAATTGCAGAGTTTCAAAAATTTTTAGAAATCAATAGCAAAGGCGGTCGAAGGTCGTTTGAGTGCTCATATAGAACAAACTCACATGTTTCATCTATCCGTGACAGTCGCAGGCTGACTACAGACGATCTGTGAAACTGACCAATAGGATTGCAGCATTTCAAAATGTTGAACAAATTGATAGCGAAGGCCGTTTGAGCGCTGATAGACAACAACTATCATCTTCTATCTATGTATGGCGGTCTTATACTTGCTACAGACAACCTATGAAAGGGACCAATAATAGAGTATCTACATATATAAGAGAAAGTGTGTTTGTCTGTTCGCTATGCGTTCTGTCCCTGTAATAGCTATTATCACTGAACTTTCCATGGTACTTCCTCAGGTTCTGAAGAAGATCGACATAAGGTTGGAACCATCAGCTGAAGTGGAGAGGAGATTACGTGAAGTTTCACCCATATTCCTTCCAAACGATAGAAAACTACAATTATCGTCGATGCATTCGGTCCTTTCCGTAGCTAGAATCATCAAATGTTTCCGGGCACTCACTTAGGCCTCAAAGAAGGTCGATAGGTGATCGGCATCTCCAGCCTGAGTGGGGCAATTGAGCTAAGTAAAATTTACCCAGGTCATCCAATAAGTCCGTACGCAGCACTCTTTTTGTAGATAGTGGGTAGCGAAGGTGGCTGGAGGCCGTCTGAGCGTTCACCTAGGGTAGTCTAAACGTTCCACACTTCAATATTCAAGGAATGTTGCTAATAGTGTGATACAGATAGATTTTTGTAGGCAACCTACCAAACACCGAGAAAAGATCCGTGTGAGTGAACTGAATGATGAAAGTCCGGTAAGAAGGTAGGATAACGGATGGTAGGAAATAGCAAATGAGTTCTCTGCACGGCGCGAAAACTGCTGATGGAAATAAAACGGACACATCGCGATCTCTTTGCAGGGGACATGTCCGCTAATGTATGGTATATAGAAGAGTTCGGCTCAAAGATTATTTCCTATTTCTACATACATCCTTATCAGCGATAAAACAAAATTGACATATTGTTCAAGAAGTATCGTACAAAACGATTGGCACCAAAATTTCAATACGAAACCCTACTAAATCTTTCGAGAAAAGGTTTAGTACTGAGCCTTCTATACGAAACCTTTTAGATCTTTTTTTAGTGAAAGTTTCGTATGGAACCTTGTGTACGAAACCATTTTTATCGGTACTCAAGTCAGAGTTTCATACGAAACTTTTTTTGTTGCGAAATCTAAGTGAAGTTCAGAAACAGTTCCCACGATCCGATCCTTTTTTGTTTCGTAAAACACCTTTTTTTCTCAGTGAAGAACAAAAGTCCCATCAATAGGTATGTTTAATACCATGAAACCGTAGCTCTCCAATAATAGTATTTATGGTAAAAAATTTTGTTTCTATCTTTTATCGTTTTTGAGATATTGAAATTTTAGTCTCTACAGTTCGACTAAAATTGTCTTCAAACATGTAGTACAAGTTATGCTTATAATGCTTATATCTCAAGAACGACTTATTCGTTCGGGGTGAAACTTTTGGCTTTTTCGTAGCTTAGTATGATCTATCTGCTGTAAGAATATGAGGCCAATCAGAGATGGTCATCACGCAACGTTAGATGTCGCTTACGTGTAATGTCTCCTATGGCTATGTTAAATGAATTTGGATGGATTCTTTCGTGAACAGATGAAAGGACTTCTATGCAAAGCTTTTTTAAACCTTTGTTGTGATATATCCTCACCTTCACCTACACTCTCAAGATTTTAAAGCAGTTTTTATTTTAGTCGTCTTGTGAGATTCGAATCATAAAGATTGCATTACTGTCTGATGAGCTTCATGGGTAAAGCGAAAACTAGATTATGGTAGATAAAACACACGCACACCTTCACCCAAATGTTTTTTGACGTATTCATATTAGCAATATTCCAGCTGTTGCTCGGTGAAGACCAACAAAAAGGCACCAAGGAAAAGGTGCTTTATCAACGTCAACTACTATATCATCTTCTTCATTAGTGGTTTCATCCAACAGATGTAATCGGTGTTCGTCACAATTCAAGGTAATTGTCCATATATGACCAACTCTGTTAAATCTGCAATCCCATGGAGTTGTTGAATGTAGGCCGTTGTGATAACGAAAATAGTTCACCCAACCATACGTTGCATCTGAATGGATGTATGAACCGGCAGAGTAAAGCCTTGGTTCAGGCGGAATATTTTTTGATCGAATACCTAAGAATGGAAGCGATTTATTTATCCTTGTTCGGATGCGATGAATGCCAGACGAATATGAGTGAACTCCAAGAGCACCTGCAGGTTTCCCCATATAAATATTTTCCACTGACCGTTTATCAGCTGACAACTTCACTGTGTTTTCATCGGATGTGAAAATTTGTACAAACTTTTCGTCTTCCACTATGTTTATCATGTCAGACTTTTTCAGCATTGAAACAGATGACGCCATGGTTGCGAAGTATACTTTTATTAGAATTAATACTCTAAAATAAGAAGATGTTGTTTTTTCGTTGTTGTATAGGCAACACGTTTATGAAAATCTTAGCAATAAGGAATCTAGGTAGCTCCTCTAAATGGCGACAATATGAACTGTAATTTTGATCATAGAAACTTTGAAAAGTTCACCTTGAGTAAAATCGTTCTCTTCTATTTTTGACGTCCCGCCTGCTAGGAAAGTTTTTAACTTTCACAGGGTCCTACGACTACTTTTGAGCGGTTGTAGGAGGCGACCCTGGGCTGCTAGTAGCCAACCGTCTGGTCATGAGGCTAGCAATCTCTAGCTGGACATTAAACAATCATTGCTAATGAAAAGAAACATTATAAGTGCGTAAATGCACAAAATCATGTTTTTTTCGGCGGGTGGAACGTTCGATCTTGTACAAAGCAATCAAAGAAGGAGATCATAGTCAAACAATTAAAGAAATATCAAATAAAAATAGCCGCACTTAGTGAAACGTGTATGTGTGATTCCGGCATAAAGTTAGTAAGCGACTACACAATGATCTATTCAGGTGCACCAAACGACAGAAAAACACGAAAAGCTCATGGTGTGGCAATCTGTCTCGATCCGATTGCCACAAAGGTTTGGAAGGATTCAGGGAGCGAATGGATACCAATAAATGAACGGATTATTAAAATTCGACTCTACTGTGCACCAATTTACATTACTGTAATTGCAGTCTATTCTCCTATTAATCCGAAAACAAAACAAACGAGTTTCCGTTTTTTTGACCACTTTTTTTTCGACATGATCCTCCTTTCAGTCGAGGGAATGAAAGAAATAACTCGCACGAATTAATCCGATGATCATTGTACCAATAATCAATCCTAAATAAATATATAAATAATATGTTTTACGTTTTTCTGTTGTTATTTCTGATGACCAAATACTTAACCATTTATTAGTGGCATCATAAATACCTTGACCTATTAACATTAAAAATATTAATAAAACTAATACAAAGCAACCATATTCAGAAGTAAATAATTTTAACCAAACATTGATGTTAACTGTTCCATTCGTAGATATTTCATCTTTAAGAATAGAAGTTTCATCAGTTGTCGTGAATTGATTTGCTGAATCATAGTTCGAATCAATACTATTATGTCTTTCTTTACTTTCGTTTGTTTCATTTGAATGATGTTGATGTTGTTCATATAATTGTCTGATTTGTGTTACTGATAATAAATCATTAAATAAACCTTGTTTTTCAATATTTCCTCGATCTAATAGAATACAATGATCAAATTCAGCTAAGAATTGGATTTGATGTGTTACTAATAATCGAGTTTTCTTTTTCACAATACTTTCATTACCAATACAATGTTGAAAGATCTTCTTTGCAACTGATGGATCAACTGCAGCTAACGGATCATCAAATAAATAAATATCCGCATCAGTATACAATGCTCGAGCAAGTGAGATTCGAGCCTTTTGTCCCCCACTTAAATTAACTCCTTTTTCACCGATAATTGTCAAATCACCAGATCGAAATGATCGTAAATCAGAAATTAATTGACATGATTTGATGACTTCTTCATATTTTTCTTTATGAAATGGTTTACAAAATAGAATATTTTCTCTTATTGAACCAGCAAATATCCAGGTGTTCGAGTAAAGTCATTGCTGGAAGACTTTTCAAGAGTTGTTGTGCAAGTCTGCTTTGATAAATTCATGAATTGATTAATACGTTTTGATGCTATTTGACTTTCAATTAATTTTCCAATAGCAAGAGGTAAAACATTTGTTAGTGGTAATCGTAAATTATTATACAATGATAAAATGCTGAATATATTCGCAGCAGACAATGGTTGATCCATCAACCAATTTCCACCAAAAGTGGCTAATGCAATCAATGGTAATGATGCAAAAAAGATGCCCATATTCACTGCTCGAAGTTGACTTGCTTTTCGGATAATTTTTAATTCATTCTTTCTGGTATCATAAACAACATTTTCCAACGCTTCTTCCCATCGATACATTTTAACAATTTGACAACCAACTAAGATTTCATTAATGATTTTGACACGTTTATCTGCCCATGCAACAGTTTCCTTTCGATATTTTCCCGATTTTCTACTAATAAATGTTTGTAATGGCACTAAAAGTAGTAAAACACCACAACCAAATAGAGTTGCAATACCAATTTGACTCCAAATCAAAATAAAAACAATAATGGCTTCTAATGGTGCTCCCCATATATGATGAATAAGAAAGCTAAACTCTTCAAATGTACTGGCATCATTTGAAATCAAATTAACTATTTGTCCTGTATTTGTTTTCATAATTGCTCTTGTGGGTAATGACAACATTTTTTTATAAATAATCGACGAAAGTACAACTCGCGCATGTAATCCAACTCGTGATGAACGAAAAAAGAATTGTTGATGTAAAAGAGCTTGCAAAAGTGTCGAAAGTGCTAATCCAATAGCATATAAATAACCGATATACGAAGGCACAGTCTTATCACTAATAGTGTTAACAAGTTGTCTTAAAAGTAATGGTTGAGCTATTTTGACACCAATATATGGAATATAAATTAGACCAGCTATTAATATTGGTTTCCAAAATGTTTGGATAATTGTTTTCCATGTACTGACATATTCATATTGCTTTTCATGTTGTTCCCATACTCCTTCAAATTTTGCTAATAACTGACTACACTCATCGTTTAATGAGACCTCAAATAAATCATCGTCAGTTATTTGACGTTTATAACCGATAGTTAAAATTGGATTTAACCATGACCATAATAGAACATGAATCCATCGTAAGACAGATGACTCCGCCAATCTAAACCACAAGGTTTTCGAGAGTTTCCTGAGATTGGAATAGAGATTTCTTTTGTGTCTGTCTCTTTCGCTAAATGAATATCGTTAGTCATAACCTTATTTGTCATTTCATGAGAATGACACAGTGATTCTCCTGATTTTTACTTTCACTTTATATTATGATCAATTAAACTTATCTTTCTATATATATGATACAAAACAACAGCAGTTCTTTTTATACATTTATGATTTTTCATTTATCTTTGGTCCTCGAAAAACTTTTATATATTTCTTTCTCTTTTTTCGTTTTTATACTTTTACAATCTTTCGTTTATCTCTACTTTGTATAATTCTCTCTAACGTAGGGTGAGAATGAGTGGAAGAATAAATGAAATAGAAATTCACATCAAATGGTCATTACATCTGTCTGCGAGTGCATCAAACGTCAATAAGTACAAATACTGACAGTTGAAAACGTTGAATTTAATAACAGCAGCTGATTCAGAGAAGTTGAAGAAGAGTTCACAAAAATGGGCGCGATGAAAAAGTAGCTCGATCAATTAAAATAACGTTATGATGAAAAACATCATCAATTGTCTTTATTAGTTGACATGAAGTCAGAGTAGTCGTGAAGGTGTAGCACATGATTTTCTCCAATTTTCCGAAAGTCCTGGACGAATCAAAAGATCTCCTTTTTATAGACCAATAAGTTTTTCTTGTTGCTCCTGTCTGTGAGTGTTTTCAGATTGCACCAAAGAATGTTTTCTTGCGTTGTCGAAACATTCTATCGTATAATGATTTCTTATCCATATTTGCAATGATATACACTCACAAGTGTTTCTATCACTTCTGGCGTTTGGTGTAGTCAAAGATCATTGGGAGTGTGGCGTCACTGTACCATTTTTCAAAAGGATCTTATAAAATATTGTCGTGATTGGTGTGGTACTGTTTTCTAAGTTCATAAGGAAAAGAAATCATTCCTAATAAATAATCCCGTTTTCATTTGTGACTAAATATTTGTGACCAATCGAATACTTTCTATCTATTCTTTTAATATTTTTTCAACGATACCATCAGCATATAGTGTTACCTTATTTTGAACACAAATTATTCTATTTTATAGCAACAACAGCAAATCCTTCTGAATGTGATAATAGAACCATTGACCTTGTTACATGTTCAATTGATTTAGATAAAGAGAGATTTTTGA